GTGAGTTCGGGGGGGCGGGGGCAGAGGAGCGGGACTGTCCGAGGGGGCGGGGCTGGCCGGGGGTCCTAAGGTCAAGGAGGGCTGTCGCCGGCGTGCTCTCACTCGTCTGAGGGGACGATGCTGTGGACACTGGCCAGGGCGCTGGCTTCTCGGAGACCGGGCCGAGGCCGGGCCGGCGGGAGGGGGCTGTGGACCGGCCGCCCGCAGTCAGGTACCCTATGACACTCAGCGCCCCGTCCCTGAGGAGAGCGCTCGCGCCGTCCTCTCCCCTGACCAGGCTCGCGGCCGCGTTCGTGCCCCGCTTCTCTTCACCCCTACCTTTTAGTCCCCCAAGTTCTGATAACTTAAAAAACACTACCTCCCGCCCAAAGCTGAGTTTTAGAAAGCAGACTGCTGCCTTGATAACTTAGCCTGTACTAATTGATGCTCGACTTGACCCCTGCGTTTCAGTTCTTGTGGAAGTTGACGAGATTAGAAAAAAGATATTTTTAAAAGGAAAAAGAGGAAAATTTAACCGAAACTTAAAAATCTCGCAATTATAAAGAAACAGGATAATTCAGGAATTCCATCCTCTGCATAAATTCTGCATAAGACACCTGTCTCCATCTTGTAGAAAATGGAATTTCAAATTACTAGTTTTATGGAGTTTCCCTTAGTTCTTCATACTAAAATTAGCTCGGGGAATTCTAGAACTCATTAAATTAGACCAGTGTGTAGTATGGGCCCGAGGAGATTTTGTTTAGATTTTTGTTGTGTCCTTATGCACTTGCCTATGCCTTTGGAGATGAGAAGGAACTGGAGAAAAGTGTGGCTGTGCTTTTCCAGGTGGGCGCTGGGAACAACCCAGGTCCTCCGCGAGGACAGTCTTAAGCACTGAGCCTCCTCTCCAGCTCCTGTCCCCTGTAGTTTGCATTCAGCCAGAGCACCTTCATGGAAGATTTTGGCCTCTGTTCAGTCTCTGACATCTTCAGTGACATGAGTAAGGAGTGTCTTTTCAGCTTTTCTCTCCATTAATGGAGACACACAGGATTTTGGGGCGAGGGGGATTAGATTTTTGTTTTGTTTTCGTGGTGGTGGTTTATTCTTAGGCAATTAATTCCATTCAGCTTTCTTGTTTTGCTTCATCTTGTTTTGTTTTCGAGACAAGTTCTCAATATTTAACTCAGGGTTGACCACATTTCTTTCTTTTGAAGATAATTTGTATAATTATTCATGGAAGGATAATGTCACCATCAAGATATAGTGATATAATTAAACCCTACAGACTACAACTTATCTAACATTAGTATTGTTCTATCCTGACTGTTGTTTATTTTAAAATGCTGCGAGGAGAAGTCACGCCATACAACAAGAGGCTTATTGAAGAGGAAAGAGAAGGGTCTAGAGAAGGAACAGAGACCAGTCCCTGAGGACACGAGTGGTGGAAGAGAAAGAGAGAGAGCTGATAAGAGTAGCAGACAAAAGACAGACAGACAGAGAGAGAAAGAGACTGGAGGTGGATAAGACCTGCCTTTTATAAGGGAACATGGAGAAGGTGCACATTTGGCGCTCTTAGTGGCTGCAGCTGAGGGCATGTCCTGTCAGGACCCCAAGGGCAGGCCAGTACAGATGCCTGAATACTAACGCTGACCAAATGTTTCTTTTCTAAACACTCATACTTACAATAAATAAGTCACATATATGTCAGTGAATCAATAATCTGGCCTACAAGGGGACCAAGAAGTGGGGTGATGGGCATCAAAGTTACATTTATTATTATTTTTTTTAATGGCACACGTCTTCAATCCCAGCACTCAGGAGGCAGAGACAGTACATTTATTATTTTTATAACTGGGAGAAGATATACAGAATTAGGTCTCAGCTTGTTCAATATTATCTTTTTACTTGAATTCTGCTTCTAGAATGGAATCGAATCCAAGGTCTAATCCAGGCAAGGCAGGCTCTTTACTATTGAGCTTCAGGGTATCTACAGCCCCCAGAATGCTCTTATGTCTATCCACACAATACACTAAAATCTGACAGAGGAAGAAATACAGTGGAAAATTTTGCTGGGTAGATTTATATTTAAGGCAGTGTGCCTACCTACACATCTATAGGATTGTCCAAAACTGAATCTTTAATTAGGTGAAACTCAACATATATTTTAATCTCTTTACAGACTTCTTTCAAATGATAATTTTGGCAAGAACAGTTAAATGATTTGTTTAAACTCACCTAGCAAGATCAGAATTCAGACTTTTTGAATTCTAGGGATTTTTTTCTCCCTTAGAAATACAAATTAATCATTTGAAAAATGAAATTAAATAAAAAAACACACACATGCCGGGCGGTGGTGGCACACACCTTTAATCCCAGCACTTGGGAGGCAGAGGCACGAGGATCTCTGGGAGTTCGAGGCCAGCCTGGTCTACAAGAGCTAGTTCCCGGATAGGCACCAAAGATACAGAGAAACCCTGTCTTGAAAAACCAAAAAAAAAAAAAACTCACATGCACACAAATTTTGAAGGTGGCCAGGCATGGTGACATATGCCTTTTCTTTTGGTTTTGTTTTTTGAGACAGAGTTTCTCTGTCTTGGCATCCTAGAACTCACTCTGTAGACAGGACTAGCCTTGAACTCATAGAGATCCACAGGTCTCAGCCTCCAGAGCACTGGGATTAAAGGCGTGTGCCACCACCATCACCTGCCCATAAGACACAGGCCTTTAATTTTAGCATTTAAGAGCTAGAGGCAGGCAGAATCTCTGTGAGTTCGAGTAGCCTCTTCTACATAGTGAATTCTGAGATGACCAGAGCTGCATAATAGAGATCCTCTCTCAAAAAAAGAAAAAAAGAAAGTGGTACTGTGTAGCTTCTTTTGGATTTACAGATGATGAATATGCTCTTAGCTAGTGAACTATAACTAAAGCCAGGGTATTCCTAAACTTTAGTCTGGGATTTACAGTTTGACTGGCCAAGCTGGTAGGCCCAAGAACCCCAGACTGAAAATTTCTTTCTTTACGGAGTTTAGTGAAAACATGAGGGGAAAGGAAATTTGGTTGTTTTTCCTGGAGCTATAAAAATTAAAGAACTGTAATGATGGCTGTGAGTATAGAATAGCTTTCTTTTGGAGGGAAAAGGAAAGTAGGCATTTTTGTTAGCTAATAGACATTGTTCCTGCAAATAGAACAGCACACACAGTGTAGGGATGACTAGCATTAGAAGACAGGATTGTGCACACTACAGTGCTCTCAGGATAGATATTGCCAGCGACTAGGTGTTGTGTTCAGGTTAACATTGTATATATAGAAATGAACAATGTCAAGGAACTTTCTGAGTTAATGAGGACTCTCTGGTGATAGTGTTTTAGAGTGTAGAAGTTAAAGCAAGTAAGAGCAACAAGATCAGGAAACGTAAGTATGAAGATGAGTGGAGTCTGCTTTTTTCTTTCTTTTTTTTTAAAAAAAAGATTTTATTTATTTATTTATTTATTATGTAAACAGTATTCTACCTGCATGTGTGCCAGGACACCAGATTTCATTATAGATGGTTGTGAGCCACCATGTGGTTGCTGGGAATTGAACTCAGGACCTCCGAAGAGCAACCAGTGCTCTTAATCTCTGAGCCATCTCTCCAGCCCTGAGACTGCTTGTTTATATAAGGTTGCAATCTTTATTTAGGTTATCCAAAAGTGTGTGTGTGTGTGTGTGCGTTTATAGTGGATATCAATTTCATTTCATCATGCCATATCTTTTAAAAAAACGAAAAAACAAGAAAGACCTATTTGTGAGTCCAATACTTATAATAGCAGAAGAATAATGTTTAAGACAGATTGGGGACCCAGAATCCTGCTCACCTTGTCTTCTTACTTTACCATCCTGCAAAGAGACTCTGGGACCCCTCTGAGGAAGTCCCAGATCTCAGCAAAAAAAGATTCTGAACACATCCATTTTAGGTTAGTGGCAGCAATCAGTCCTTCATGCATTGATATTTTGGTTGTTTACTGTGTTTGCAAGAAGTAAATATTTTCATGTTTCTGCATTGGTAGTACTTTCTAGATGAAAACTGGGTTAAAGCACAAGCCTTGGAAGTTAAAAGATGATTGATTAGATAGTTTGAAGTATGTGTTTATAGTTAAAGGGATACAAACAGAGAGACTTGGGTACATTCTAAGGGCTGCAAACTCAGTGAGGCTGCTGTGCTCCTGGAAAGGTGATTTATATCTCACAGGGTAGAAGCTCAGGCATTAGTTCAGTTTTCTACCCAAGCAGAATTTACTCCCATTTATCAGAGGAAGGTGGCACAAACTCCTAGACTCATAGTTTTTGGGGTCTTCTCTTATGATTCAATCCCTGTAATGTAGGTTACCAAGAAGTGAATATGTGATTAGCTCATTCATTAATAGGAATGAATCTGCTCCAAACACAGTAAATCACTTAATATTTACATTGACAAAGCAAGATTTTACAGGAACTGTGTGGTGTTTTGTTTGTTTGTTTGTTTTTGTTTTTTGAGACAAGGTTTTGCTGTAGCTTTGAGCCTGTCCTAGCACTAGCTCTTGTAGAGCAGGCTGGCCTCGAACTCACAGAGATCCACCTGCCTCTGCCTCCCAGGTGCTGGGATTAAAGGCGAGTGCCACCACCGCCCAGCTAGGAACTGTTTTTATTTTTTGTATTTATTTATTTGTTTGTTTGTTTGTTTTTTATTTATTTTTTAAAGATTTATTTATTATGTATACAACATTCTGCCTCCGTGTGTGCCAACATGCGGGGGGGGGGGGGGGGGCGCCAGATCTCATTACAGATGGTTGTGAGCCACCATGTGGTTGCTGGGAATTGAACTCAGGACCTCTGGAAGAGCAGACAGTGCTCTTAACCACTGAGCCATCTCTCCAGCCCTTAGGAACTGTTTTTAAATAGGGTCAAATTCCATTGCTTTGTTAAAAAGCTATTCCCTTTTCATTTCTAAGCATGTATATTGGCCAGGCACAAGAGAAATGTGTTAAATATATGCTTCACCAATGTGTAATACATGTATCAATGCAGTTACACCAACAGAAATCTCCATTGAAATTAATAAAAATACTTACAAAAATAGCTCTATATGAAGAAATAAAAGAGTTGAAAGGACTAGATGTAAGTTTTAAAGGAACATTGAGCTGGATTGTTGAGGGTATGAAGTTTATTAGCAGGGCTATTAATACCATGAGCAAATAGATACCAGCATTGTGGGGGCTCTGAAGGAGAGTTCAGAGACAGAGAACTTGGTGCTTACTCTGCAACAGAATCAGGCTTATGAGGTAGGAGTTGGAGCCTTTATTTTTTTTATTTTATTTATTTATTATTATTTTTTTTTTTTTGGTGTTTCGAGACAGGGTTTCTCTGTGGTTTTGGAGCCTGTCCTGGAACTAGCTCTTGTAGACCAGGCTGGTCTCGAACTCACAGAGATCCGCCTGCCTCTGCCTCCCGAGTGCTGGGATTAAAGGCGTGTGCCACCACTGCCCGGCTTGGAGCCTTTATTAAAATAGGTCTCTGAGGAAGTGTGGGGGCTTCACAGAACAAGCCTGCAGCTGGGCTCTCTGGTTTCCTAGCAGGAGTCAGGGGACCAGAGCATATGCAGGGTCATCAATACCAACTTTTGCAAATCAGTTCCCCAGGTGAGAAATCTTGGCACCTGGAAGTCTATTAGAGATTCAGTTTCTTAGTAGGGTACCTGTCAGTAGATGCAAGAGGGCTGAGGCTGCTGCAGGTATAGTGGCCTGAACATCAGTCTGGCTGGAATCTGAGAGAAGTGTGAGTCACATTTTCTAAAAATAAATACTAAAAGATTACTTTAAATGAGCAGATGACATTGCATCTTTGTAGTTTTCCAATTATAAAAGGTTACACATGTACTTTCATGGTTGAAGTTTAATCACAACTTTAATAGTATTGGCTTTTAAAAGTTGTTTAGGACTTTGAGGACTCAGGCCTCATGATGGGTTACCATGGTTATAAGTTAGTTATTGCCAGAGTGGTTTGTTATAAAATCAAGCTCAACTTTGTTATCCCTGTTGTTGCTGCCCTTTGTCCTCATTTTTTTTTTCTGCCTTGGGGAACACAAAGACTACGTGTAGCCATTGTGTTCTCTTGGATGTCCCAGCTATTAGATTATGAGAAACAATCTCTTTTAAAATAAATCACCAGTCTCTAGTTTTCTGTTATAGCAGCAGAAAACCAGCATATACAACATCTTTTGCATAAAACTGTAAAGATTTAGAAACATAAAAAGCAAGAGAAGGGGGCTGGAGAGGTGGCCCAGAGGTTAAGAGCACTGCCTGCTCTTCCAGAGGTCCTGAGTTCAATTCCCAGCAACCACGTGGTGGCTCACAACCATCTGTACTGAGGTCTGGCGCCCTCCTCTGGCGTGCGGGCATACAGACAGAATACTATATACATAATAAATAAATAAATATAAAAAAAAAGCAAGAGAAGTACTGAGCTTTTATACAAGAAACAACTACTTGATATTTTAATCAAAAAAACAAACATCAGATAGATCTTTTTAAATATGTTATAGAAGCTTTTTAAATTAACTATAAATGGTATAATTTGCGGTTGGGGAAACGTAAACCTGTGCATTATTTACTTCTACTAAATAATGATTGGTTAAAAAGGCACATTTTTTTTTGATAGGCTCTTGCTATGGAGCCCTGTCTGGCCTGGAGCTCTCTATTTTGTAGGCTGGTCTCATACTTACAGGTATCTACATGTACCTGTAAGTATGCCTGCCTCTTTCGCCTCAGTGTTGGGATTAAAGGTATGTACTAACTTGTCTGGCTACCCAAATCTATATAAATCAATAAGAAAAAAAGATTAAAGTACTCTTTGAAATATGAGCTGTCAGGGTGTTTGGTGTAGTAAGGTCAGAAGAGAAGAAAGCGGTCACTCCAAAATATAATTTAGGCTTTCTGGCAGCAGGGAGGAATAGTTTTGATGAACTGAACCCCAAACAGCCATTCACAAAACTTGTTTTTTGGATAAAAAAAAATTCTTCATACCAAAGCCCCTGACCTAATCTATGTTTTCTAAAGGAAAACATCACATCCCTGCAATGTTAGTCCTTATTGTGTATTGTTTGTGTACCCAATAATGCAAGATGATTTAGGTGTGCCAGGACTGTCTTGTGACCAAAGTTGTGCAAAGGCTGTAAAGCTCCTGAAAAAGGACTCTGTAGGTAACAGAAAACAATCACTGTTTTACACAGTGATTTCACGTCTAAGTAATTCTAGACAACTGTTCTCTTTGCCCTAGTTACAATGATTCTACTACTTTTTTCTTTACAATAAGCGAATAACCAAGAGTAATTTTCAAAAAACATTTAGAGGTTTTCTTCGTCTTTGAATCTCTCTCCCTTCTCACTTTCTCTCTCTCTCTCTCTCTCTCTCTCTCTCTCTCTCTCTCTCTCTCTCTCTCTCTCTCTCTCTCTCTCTTCTTTAATTTGCTAAGCAATACGGAGAGGATTAAAGCCTTGGCTTTGACGGCTGGATCCAGCCCATTTCTTAGCTTTCTGAAATTCAAGGCTCATAGCTGAGGAACCGGCAGGAGCCATGTTTGTTGCCACAACTCTATGGTGTTTCAAGATCCTTGCCAGCAAGCAAGCTGCAACAGTGTGTCCACCAACAACACTCACATGCTCTCTCTGTAGTCAGACCTCCTATCTCAAAGAGTCAGAGTTTGCACTGGCAGGACGGCCCAGAAAGCCAGCATTTTAAAACAGCACAGCCTTTTTCCTGCTATGGCTGTGGTCAAAAAGCATATGGTCAGCTTTCATCAACACCATTTAAGTGTTTCGTGGCAGGACCTCTTAAACAGCTGCAGGGTTTTGCAGTCAGGAAGCCTCTCTTAAATGAGAGTGCTTGCTTGCCTCTAGCAAGCAGAGCATACCGGAGAAATTGCTGCTACCAAGAAGCCATGCTTTACTCTATTCTTTTCTGTCTAGAATTACTTCCCAAGCTCTTTCAGGCTTTAAGTGGATGCAGTTGTCCACATGGGCACTATTCTGTTGTCTGAGGTTTTTGTCCTGCCCAGTTCCTGCAGTCATTAGGTCCCAGAGAAATCATACAGAGGTCTATATTAATGATAAGCTGATTGACCCATTAGCTCAGGCTTCTTATTAACTCTTATAATTTATATTAATCCATTATTCTTATCTATGTTAGCCACATGGCTTGGTACTTTTTTCAGCGGGGCAATCACATCTTCCTTCTGTGGTTGGGACAGGACTCCAGCCATTTGTTTTATTCTTGAAAATGCTTTTATCTGTGTACTGTATTATTTATCTTCTAACTTAATTCCCAGGATCTCTTACTGTACTAAGCTGTATTTATGGTTATTTGATTTCAATCTTTTATCCTCTTGTTTTTTCTTTCCTTTTTGTTTTTGATAAAGAAAAGCTTTTTTCAAATGAAAGTATATTTTCTTTCATGCTTTTTCTAGCACTTTAACTATTTACATTTTATTCATATATAGTTCTTGTTGAATCTACCCAGAATTTAATAAGAAAAGGCACATCATGGCAGGCTCTTCCTCCTTTTTTTTTTTTTTTTTCTGTGTAACAGCCGGGCTGCCCTGGAACTCAGTCTGTAGACTAGGCTGGCCTCGAACTCACAGAATCCACCTGCCTCTGCCTACTGAGTGTTGGGATTAAAGGCATGCACCCTGCCAAGATGGGGTTTCTTTTTTAGCAGTCCTAGCTATCCTGGAACTCGCTCTGTAGACCAGGCTGGTCTCAAACTCACAGAGATCTGCCTGCTTCTGCCTTCTGAGTGCTGGGATTAAAGGCATGAGCCACCACTGCCCAACTTTAATTGTCTGTTCTTTTTTGTAGGCAGAGGCCACTTGTTTGTTTTTTTTTTGGCCACCCAGACCCAAAATAATCACAAAAAACTGTGTTAATTAAAACACTGCTTGGCCTATTAGTTTAAGCATATTTTTATTTAGCTCTTACATTTTAAATTAACCCATTTTTATTATTTTATATTTTACCACAAGGTTCGTGGTTTATCAGTACTGGCACACGGACATCTTTCTTCTCCTATGGCTACGTGTCATCTCCATAACTCCGCCTACTCTCTCTTTACATCTCTGTTTGGATTTCCTGCCTGGCTTTACTCTTTTAAGTCACTGACCAAAAGCAAATAAAACATTCTCACAGCATACAGAGGGGAATCCCACATCACTTTTTCTTCTTTCTTTCTTTCATTTTGTTTTTTAAAGGATTCAGAATTCTCCTGTTCTTCCACAAGAGATATTAAAGCTTTTTCTAAAGTAACTTTTTAAAAAGATTATGTATACAGTGTTCTCTCCACATTCATACTTGTATGCCAGAAGAAGGCATCAGATCTCATCATAGATGTTTGTAAGCCACTATGTGATTGGTGGAAATTGAACTCAGGACCTCTGGAAGCAGGCAGTGCTCAGTACTCTGAATCATCTCTCTAGCTCCCTCCATTCTCTGTTCTTATATTGATATGTTATATTGTATAATCTCTTTGTCTAAGTATCCTTCCTCAACTTGATTATGTACTCATTAAAATGAATTTTTAAAATAAATTTATTCTTTTTTTATGTTTTTTTTCTCCTGATAATGAGGAGATGTGTAATTGGACTTTCTTTGGACCACCAGCTTCTAAATAATGACATGGAGACTTCTTATTAAGTATGAAAGCGTGGCCTTAGCTTAGGCTTGTTCTAAACTAACTTATAACTTAAATTAACCTGTTTATATTAATCTATGTTCTGCCACATGGCTCATTACCTTGTCTCAATATAGTATATGTCCAACTTTCTCTGTGGCTCACTGGTGAATTCCCCACCTCTCAGATTCTTCCACTGGGTTCCTCTCTCTCCACAGAAGTCCTGCCTCTCCTCTTCTACCTTGCTGTGGTCCATTGGATTATGCAGTGAGAACTCAACTGACAAAACCTCATAACTAACCCACCAGGATCACACAGTCCAATGGAGGAGGCCCACACACAGAGTCGTGGTGATGTGGGATTCCCTGCTCTGTATGCTGTGAATACCATTGGTTGATAAAGAAGCTGTTTTGGGCCTATGATAGAGTAGAGCCGAGCTAGGTGGGGAAAACTAAACTGGATGCTGGGAGAAAGAAGGAGTTAGAGAGAAGCCACGTATCACCACAGGAGACAGATGGAACTTTACCCAGTAAGCCACAGCCACGTGGCAATACACAGATTAATAGAGATGGTTTAGGATATGAGTTAGCCCGAAATACGCTTAAGCTATTGGCCAAATAGTATTGCAAACAATATTGTTTCTGTGTGATTATTTTGTGTCTGAGCTGCCGGGTGGCTGGGAAACAAACAAGCAGACCCTCCTTACAACATGGTAGGAGTATTTGCTTTATGAATAGTCAATGTCCTTACTGTAAATTACCTGGGAAGCCATAACACTCCTCTTCTGTGGTAGGATTTGTCCCCAAGCCCCCAGCAGTGTGTTAATTGTTTACTGGGTACAATTTTCCTTATGCATTGGTATATTGGATGACTTCTTCCCAGTAATGCATGACTCTGGCAAGAAAATAATCACAGACAATACCCTTACTCTCTTTACCAGGTCTTTGTATAAACTTCAAAGTCTGTCTGTCCCCCCTCCAACCCACACAATTATCTTCTTTGAAAAATAGTTGGTCATTGTTAGTGTCCAGGCAAAGAGACCTCAATTGAGACATTTATAGACACCCGAGTACAAGAATTATGGCTGAAGTTGTTGAGCCTAAGCTCTCAGAGAGATAGAGAACAAGAGTGCCCTGGATTTACTCTGCCAGCAGATAGGGAATGTCTGTCCCAAGCTAACTTAGCATTAACCTTAAAGCAAATCCTCAACTATTTGTATTTATTTTTACCTTGGTAAAATTGAAGCAAGAAATTTACTGCTTGTATTTCATCCTGAGAGGCAGCATAGGGTGTAATCCTTAGAGCCAAAATGTTCCTTTTAGACAACTAACAGTTGGCGAAAGTACTATCGGGAACCAAATGCTACTCGGTTCCCCTGTTTTCTTACATACGTTTCCTAGTTACCCGACACTCCCTCTGCCTTCTGGAGAAAAGTGGCCTGCTGAGAAAAAGATTATTCTTGCCTTGCTCATGATTTTCACTGATTATAACTTTTAGCTTATTTGCCTGGTTACTTCTAAGACATTAGTGAAGCACACCTGCCTCTGCCTCCTGAGTGCTGGGATTAAAGGCATGCACCACCACCACCCAGCCAGTAAGAAGGAACTTAAGGGGTGAGGGAACAGGATACATGTGAGATGGTTTATGAAAAACCCTTATAGAAACCCTCTATTTTGTAAAGAAATTTAGTAATACAGTTGTAGCTTCTCATGTCTCAAATCCCTGAAGAAGATGACTTTCCCTTTCCTCGGAGCTATCAATTGCCAATAGCTTTTTTTTTTTTTAACTATAAACTGATTGGCTCATTAGCTTCTTATTAACTCTTATAACTTATATTAGCCCATTATTCTAGTATATGTTAGCCACATGGCTCAGTACCTTTTTCAGCGAGGCAGTCACATCTTGCTTCTTTTGTGTCTATGCCGGGACTGCGTCCTCTTCCCAGAATTCTCCTGTTCTCCTTGACCCACCTCTACTTCCTGTCTGTTTGTCCTGCCTATACTTCCTGCCTGGCTACTGGCCAATCAGCATTTATTTAAAATATAATTTACAGAATACAGACCATGGTCCCACACCACTTCCCCCTCTTAAAAAAAACAACAGACAAGCAAACAAAAACAAG